CTCTCTCTCTCTCTCTCTCTCTCTCTCTCTCTCTCTCTCTCTCTCTCTCTCTCTCTCTCTCTCTCTTTCCCTCCCTCCCTCCTGCCCCAAAGACAAATGGACAAAGATGGATGGATGGATAGATGGATGGATCAGTGGACATCGAAGAAGGCAGTCCAGTGATCGGTATGCATACATTTTCCTTCTTCTCCGTCTATGATCTGCATGACACTTACCAGAATGGGGTTGCAGTATTTGCTTTTGATGAGCTCTTTGATGGCATCTCTTGCTCCTTGGAGCTGCTCCACAATATCTGTTGTTGTCGCAGTTTGAGAAGATGTAGATGCAACTACCACAGTGCAGTGCCTTCCGGCTGCAAACCGGCTGCTTCTGCTTCCCTGACACATCCTCACTTTCCTTGTGCCAGCAGGGCATTGACTCCCAGGTGACTGAATCAAACACCAGAAAAAGAACAAGAAACGATGAGAAAGAGGAGGAGGTGATGGTGATGGTGATGGTGATGGTGATGGTGATGGTGATGGTGATGGTGGGGATATAAGATGGCAGCACGGTCACTACAGAATTTATCTTCTTCGCCCATGGTGAATAGTGCATTAAGCATTACTGCTCGTCACCTTGAGCACACACACACACACACACATTGAGAGCACACGAAATCCACACTGGAGACCAGAGATGCGAAGTCCAGGTAAGCGCAGCTTAGAATTTCCAACAAATTATCATATTAATCAGTTCCAGAGTCTAGTCAGCAAGCACTCAACAGCGCGGAGTTCAGCAACCCATATCCAGTGTTCTCATCCAAGGTAGGTGACTCTCTTCTTCTCCCTCTCTGTATCTCTCTCTCTGTCTTCCTCATGCATGCGCTCACTCTCTCCCTCTCTCTCTCTCTACTTGAGGATCTTGAATTTGAATACATCCGCTACTTCTCAGCTCTGCTCCCTACTACTAGCTGAGCGGCTATCACCGCTTCCTTCCTCCACACAGCGCTGCCCCTCGTGTTCTCCAGCGCTAGCTTACCCGCAGACAGCGCACAAGTGCCAGCAGCACTTCCACACTTGTTGCGAATAAGCATCCTGTCTGAAATGTGGCTGGCCAGTCCTTGTATTGAGTTGGACTCAGCCTGGACTCGTCCCAGCCTCTGCTTCCTTTAGCTTGACTTGGAACCGGTACCACATGCCCAGGGCCTGTTTGCTTCAGAATGTCGAGGCCTGGTACCTCCCTGAATTTCCCTTGGTTTGCTGCTGCTTGGGCCTGTGAGTCACGACGTTTCATCTGTGGGATACGACTCTCTGTCTATGAGACATGACCTTTGCCTGTAGAACACGCCTTTCGACTTCGAGATGTGACTCTTGCCTGTGGGACACGGCTTTGCCGGGGGAAAAGTGTCCTTTGCCTGTGGGATATGACCTTTCAGCGTGAGACGTGACTTCGGCTTATGCAATGCAACCTTTGCCTCTGGGATGTCACCGTTGACCGACCAGGTGTCTGTTGGACTCGACCTCTGGGGCACCCAGCTTAGCTTTTCTGAAACTGGCCGACTTGGCTTCTTTTGGTCTTCGACTTTGACTTTGACTTTGACTTTGGCTTTGACTTTGACTTTGACTTTGACCCCTGAGATTCGAATTTGGGGTCTGCATCGTGGAATGCCTTTCAAATTTCAATAGATGGCCACAGTATACAAACTGAACCAAACAGAGTATCAACAAGGAATGATCTGGAAAAAAAAAGAAAAAAAAGAAGAAGGAATGGTCTGGAGTGATCCACAAGTTATCTAAGAGTTGTCCAGAATTAAATGAGCCTCAATTTCGATTTCGTCCAAGAAAGAAATGAATATGAATGGCTTGGGTGATCTAGGAGTGAAGCTTGAGTCTTCACGCACTGACGCACAAGAGAGACAAGGAGCGATTCAGGTATGTAAACCAATCAAACAACCAGCCAACAAACCAGAATGTGGAACCAGAGGCAAGCCAAGCAACCAGAATGTGGAACCAGAGGCAAGCCAAGCAACCAGAATGTGGAACCAGCAGCAAACCAACCAGCCAACCAACCAACCAGCCAACCAACCAGAGCATAAACCGAGAGTAAACCAAACAATCAAAACAGAAACCAGCAACAAAACAACCAAACAGAATGTAAACCAGTAACACCCACCCATCCAGCTAGAGCGTAAACTGGAGGCAAACCAACCAATCAGAATGTGATCCAGGAGCAAACCCACCGACCAGAATGTAAACCAGGAGCAAACTTAAACCGACCAATTAAAATGTAATCCAGAAGCAAACCAAGCAAGCAGAATGTAAACCAGGAGCAAATTTATCGACCAGAACATGAAAACCAAGGGGAAAACAGCCAACCAGAGTATGCAGGCCTATGCTGCTGAGAAGACATCAAGACGTAGACCGAGCAACAAGAATGCGGTCCAGAAGTAAACCAGTGGAAGGTATGTCATGTCATCCAAGAGCCACTCAGGATATTGTGAAATGCCATAAGCAGGGTTTGACTGGAGATCAAAGCCGAAGCAGATTGTATCCAACTGTAATGAGCTATTGCAAAAAGTGATTCCAGGTTGCACTGAAAGCAGAAGGTGGGACTTCGCTGCCATTTTCGCACTATTGTAATGACGATAGCAAGAAATCCACGGCAGGCTTGGCAGAATCAATATGCTCAACACAGAGAAGGTTTAGTAGTTTTAATAACTGCAAATGAAGCCAAGAACACGAGTGACATACATTGAAACATGGTACCCCGATTCACGCAACTCAGACGAATTGCAATCCCAGATAAATTTCAATAAGAGCATCCCATCAGGCATTGGAAGTCACCTTCCATTGGGTCATCTACCATCATCGCCAACCAAGATGACATAATTCAAAACCTGACGCAGAAGGGAATCTCTCTCTCTCTCTCTCTCTCTCTCTCTCTCTCTCTCTCTCTCTCTCTCTCTCTCTCTCTCTCTCTCTCTC